AGCTGCAGGGGCGGCTGCTGCAGAGGCAGCTGCTCCAGGGGCCAGGGGCGGCTGCTGCAGGGGCGGCTGCTCCAGGGGCCAGGGGCGGCTGCTGCAGGGGCGGCTGCTGCAGGGGCGGCTGCACCAGGGGCGGCTGCTGCAGGGGCGGCTGCTCCTGCTGCAGGGCCGGCTGCTCCTACAACAAGCAAGTAGCAGCAGCTGCAGCAAGTAGCAGCAGTGGCAGCAAGTAGAAGCAGCTGCAGCAAGTAGCAGCAGCGGCAGAAAGCAGCAGCAGCTGCAGCAAGTAGCAGCAGTGGCAGCAAGTAGAAGCAGCGGTAGAGTACCAGCACAGGCGCAGTGCAGCGTGCAGGCCTGGCGTGGGCTGTACTGGCCGCGCGCGGGCCTGACGTGGCCTGTACGGGCTGCGCGAACGCCTAGCGCTGACCGTACGGGCCGCGCGCGGGCCTAACGTAGGCTATACGGGCCGCGCGCGGGCGTGGCGCGGGCTGTACGGGCGGCGCGAAGGCCAGACGGGGGCTGTACGGGCTGCTCGTGGGCTACGCGCGACAGGACAGGGCAGGGCCGCGGGGCAGCGAAAATCGATGCACCTAAGGGCGCATTTCGGGCGGAAAAAATAGAGAATGCGATTCAGGCAGGAACACGGAAGGTTTAACGGTGGGCCCAAAAAAAAAATCGTCCTAGGCTAGGAACGTCCTAGCTCTTAATACCATGTGAAGATAGTATGAAGGTATGATGATTAGGGCAAGGAGGGGGATACAAAGAAGTGTCGAGCAAACTTCTGTACCCCCTAAGGCTAAACCCACTACAGCCTACATAACATTAAACATATAATTTGACATGGTGAACTGATTACTTGCTAGGGAAGCAACGAGGCAAGAACAGAGAAGTTTAACTTGAAGCCAACCATTAGGCAAAATTTCCAGGTTGCTTGCTGTGGTCATTATAGAGCATGGCTGCTATGCTTCTCACTCAGCCGGCCTTATAAGCCTCCTCTGTTGCACTCATATCTGCCACCACGAATCGGCTTGAAGCGAAGAATTGAGATGGAGGAAGTGGGGTAAATGATTGAAACAAGTCGCTGGTTTCAGTGTTGGAATGAGTCAGTGAAACAAGTCAATCAGCTAACATGTAAGAAGATCCATGGGAATTGGCGACTGAAATGAGTAACTGAATCAAGTGAAAGACGTCCAGTGACTGGAATCGATTCGTATGTAAAACGAGTCAAGGAAATCAGCGACTGAAACGAGCCACTGAAACAAAGTTACAGGAGCCCCTAGAATCACTGAAAACAGTTACTGAAAGTAGCCACTGAACCACGTGACTGAAATCCGTGAAGCGGACTGAATCAAATTTAAAGAAATCATTAGAATTTGAAATAGAAAAACACAGGCATAATTATAGATCTAAAAAAAAACCTTTTAGGGTACATTCCGCTGTGGACATGCGTCCCAATCGATGTGTCCCAATCGATTCTACCGCACTGAATCTTATTACACCGAATTACACCCTAGTTTCAAAATTTTCGCTTCTCTGGTTTAGTGCGGTTCGGAGCGGTACACCCGATTGGGACACATCGATTGGGACGCATGTCCACAGCGGAATGTACCCTTATTAGTCAAACCTTTTCTTCTACTTCTTCTAAAATTTCTATTTTTACTTTTTTAGAAAAGATCTTTTCTATTTCTTTAATGATTTCTTCTTGCAAAAAGTTATTTAACAAGTCTTGATTTTTCTTAGGTACCACTATAATAATACAATCTGTTTTTTCTAATATAGAAACTATTTTTATAGGATTTAAAAACTGAATAAAAAATCTATTTTTTTTTCTTTGTTAAATTCAATAATAATAACTTTTTGCTCTCATTTTTTTCCAATATTTTTTATTCTGTTTCCTTCTTTTCCTATACATGCTCCCGTCGCACTAATATTGGGGTTATTACTTTCTGCTATTATTTTTGTTTCTCCAGGAAAATATATTACACGATGACTGAATTGGTCACCCAGTCACTGGAATCATTTTTTGGCATGAGTTCCTGCAATGGGTACATGAAAATGGAGATTGAACCAAAAGAGCCACTTGAAACGGGTCACTTTAAGTCAGTAACTGGAACAAGTAAGCAAAACGAGTCAATGAGAAAAGCCACCATAGTCAGTGGCAAGCCACTGGAACAAGTCACTGAAACCAGTGACTGGAATGAATTAGTGAAAAAAGCCACTGGAATCGTGAGTCATGGTTGGAATGAGTCACTGGAAAAACTGACGGAAGCCAATCACTGGAAAGTGCCATTGCAACTACACATGATATTCAGTGACTGAATGAGTCACTGAAAACAGGTTGTTGTCAGTCAGTGAGTGAGCTGAGTCACTGAAATAAGTCTGGAACTAAAAGTATTCACTGAAACAAGTAGATAGAATTATTTGGTAGATTAAACAAGTCTTAGCTATTTCATTGACTACCTGGAATAAGTAACAAATTGGTGACTGAAATGGGCCACTGAAACACTGGTTTGCAATCAGTTAAGTCAACAAGACAAGTTATTGGAATCAGTCAGCACTCAAGAATGTGTCACTTACTTCCAGGAATTACTGGAATTAGTCATTGGAATGAGTAACTGAACCGGGTATCTACTCTGGAACCAGTGATTGATCGGACTGTGTTATTATAGCAAGCCACTGGAATCAATTACCAAAATGAGTTAATATCACTGAAATCAGGCTGAAGAGCCACAATAACCACTACAATTTTAGGCTTGAAGGAGGGAGAGCAGCAAAGATAGTCAAGGTAGGAAAGACAGTAAAGGTAGGGAAGGCAGTAAAGGTAGGGAAGACAGTAAAGGTAGGGAAGACAGTAAAGGTAATTGGGAAAAGCTGGGAAACAGAAAAATGATGGGGGAATAGAAGGGGGAACCCAGTGGACACACCAGAAAGACAAGTGCTGATTATGTTTTCCACATGCACATATTTCTGCAAGTTCGTTCTAAATAGCATCCTTCACCACCCTTCAGGATAATAACGTGTGATAACATATCGTACAGGAGTAATATGTACAAGTTACTACAACTACCCAATTGCTGTAGGTACCGTATCAAGATTGTTTAGCAGACAGAAGGGTCTGATATGCTATGCTACTGCTGTCCCTGTGCCAGCATCGCCTTAAGGCTAGCCATCACAGAAACAACTTGCTGTCAACAGAGAGTCATCAGCCAGCTTCGCCTTCCCTCCTGTTTTCATAGCTCATGCGGCAACAGCAGCAGCAGGCGCAGAGATTTTTGTCTTGGTCACTCTCGAAAGTTCAAACTTTACCTTCATTTTTTGCAGCTTTGATAACCCCTTCTCTGCCAAGGAGATTCCGGTTTCAGTAATTCTTGCTGATCTGGTGCTGCATGTAGCACTCGCCTCAGGGACCTTCACGGACGTTCTCGAGCATGCAGGCCTTGGGATCTTCGATGGCATGCTTGAAATCGCAGCCAACAAGACTGATGATGATGATCGTTGCTTCATCTTCTGCTGTGTCGCCTGTTGTTGCCTATTTGGCAGATCACAGGCGACATGAGCAGCAGCAGCAGCTGGACGCAGTGGGGAGAAGCCAGGGGGCCTACGGAAGGACCTCTGCTGGACTCCCTTCTGTTCCTCGTCGAATCTACCGATCCTGTACGCGGCAAAGAACGGGCTAAAGCCTTTTTTGGTCGTACGGAGCCTCCTGTTGTCGGTGTTCGGCCGCCTGTCCTTCCTGCTGGTATCGCTGTTGTTACCGCTGTTGCTGGTAGCGCCAGCAGCCGTGCTGGAAGTCAGCACAGACAGATTTGCCATCGAGGTCGCTTTTAGGAAGCGGGAGGATGACGATTCAGTGCTTTCGTTAAAGAATTAGGCTCAGAGAAAGAGCGGGTAGGTCTAGTATATCAAGCTAGCTAGCTTGAGCTATAAAGTCAGCACGAAACTTGAATGAACGAGTGGGACCTGCTCGTTTGGAGCTAGAGCAGTCCACCAGAGGGGAGAGGAGATGCTCTGTGAAGTCCCCCCTAGAGGGAAAGGCGCTCTGCATGGAATCCCGAACCAAACTGTGAATTTCGGCTGGGGCAGGAACGATTTCTACGGAAATTCTGGGCAGAGGAAAAAGCGCTAATGTACCAGCCATGTCATCATTTTGAACCCTGCCCGTGGTAGTATTTCGTACCTTCGGAGGTGACTGCGAGCTCGGGTGTCAGAGTCGGTGTGCGTTGCTGGCACGCCGCGTCAGACAAAACTGGCGGGATAAATCGAGGTTATCAATACGTGCGGAAATCCCGAGGCGGATCTCTCTGGTTTTCCAGTTGCGTGCGAATTCGTGGCGTCTCGCCATACCTGCAATTCCGTTTCTAACGGACACAACTGCGACCAGCGGTTACCACCAAGCCTGCAAGCACCTCTCGCCTCAGGGACATTCGCGGATGAGCTCGCAAAAGCTAGCTGTACAGTGTGTCGCAAAACTGGAAATTCTTTCGCGAATTCGAGCATGAGAAACATACTTGTGACAGTTGGAAGTATGACCTCGTTCAAGAACGGCGGCTGGTCAGCGATCTAGGGATCGACGAGGTTGAGATGAGGCGAGAGATGTACTCTATATAGCTTACATGGATATACATGCTTACATGTTTTTACAGAAATGGGTGGTGCTTACATGTTTTTACATAAAGGTAATACTTGGGGGATCAACTTTTTCTTGAGTGGGGCTTGCATAAGCTTCAACAGGAACAGCCAAGTGACGCTTATATGTAACACAAAACGAAGATGTTACAATAGGGGCAGTTAGCTTCATGAAGTAGTGACCCGAATGAGTCACTGAGAGGCACCAAAACAAGTCACTGAAATCAGTCCCACACAAAACAAATGAGTCATGTCATCTGGGAGGGACAGACAATCAGGAGATAATTATCAATAACAGACTGGTCTACACGAAATCACACTGCACATCCCTTTCACGCTGATACCGTATCTGGAGGCATGAACCCTAAATCTTAAAATCACAACCTTTTCTTGGCATGCACAAATTTCTTATGGAAGAGAGACGACGGCAGTGCAACTCTGGCGAGCAGCAGGCAGGGCACTACGAGGAAGGGCAGGTAGACGGCCAGCAGCTTCTGACGGGTGGACCAGGGGGACGGGCTCAGTGAGATCTCGGAGAGAATGGGGATCTGCAAGTGCGAGGAGGGGGACGATAAAGAGGGAAGGCAATAGGGAGCAGCAGAAGAGGGAGATGAGAACAGGGGGACAATGGCGAGTGACAGGGCAGCGCGAGGAAGGACAAATACATGGCAAGCAGCTTCTGACGGGTGGACCAGAGGAATGGGCTCAGCGCAACCTCCTGAACATGGGGATCTGCAGGGATGGGGCAGGAGGGTGGAAGTACAATCTCCTTGTGGGAGAGAGATGAGAACTCTGCAGTTTCGAAGAGCATGGGAACGTGCTTGTGAGAGGGCGGGAGAGGCCACGAGGGGGAGGGAGCAGGAGGGGGGCTTGTAACAACGCGGTAATGGGGACTGAGATGAGCATTGTATGGACACGAGGGACATGAGGGGTACGAGGGATATGTCAGTATGAGGGAGATGAGGGGTATGAGGGACAATAGGGGCATGAGGGGAATGAGGAGTACGAGGGGCATGATGGGTATGAGGAGAATGAACGAGGGGCATGATGGGTACGAGGAGAATGAACGAGGGGCATGATGGGTATGAGGAGAATGAACGAGGGGCATGATGGGTATGAGGAAAATGAACGAGGGGCATGATGGGTATGAGGAGAATGAACGAGGGGCATGATGGGTATGAGGAAAATGAACGAGGGGCATGATGGGTATGAGGAAAATGAACGAGGGGCATGATGGGTATGAGGAAAATGAACGAGGGGCATGATGGGTATGAGGAGAATGAACGAGGGGCATGATGGGTATGAGGAGAATGAACGAGGGGCATGATGGGTATGAGGAAAATGGAGGGTACGAGGGATATGAGGTATGCATGATGGCATTCCCATGCTGCTGCTGACAATACCATGCTGCTGCTGACAGTACCATGCTGCTAGTGACAATACCATGCTGCTAATGACAATACCTTGCTAATGACAATACCATGCTGCTAATGACAATATCATGCTGCTAATGACAATACCATGCTGCTAATGACAATACCATGCTGTTAATGACAATACCATGCTAATGACAATACCATGCTGCTAATGACAATACCATGCTAATTACAATACCATGCTGCTAATGACAATACCATGCTAATGACAATACCATGCTGCTAATGACAATACCATGCTAATGACAATACCATGCTGCTAATGACAATTCCATGCTTATGATGACAATACCATGCTGGCAGTTGCTTGCATGGGATGCATATGAGGAGACTGACCATGTTGGTGATGGCATGGCCAGAGTAGGCAATAGCCGGCACGCGGATCCACTCCCTGCCTGAGAGCAGTGAGATGGAGATGAGAGACAATGAGCATATAGCATGCACAATGGATGAGGCATGATGGCATGGCCAGAGTAGGCAATAGCCGGCACGCGGATCCACTCCCTGCCTGAGAGCAGTGAGATGGAGATGAGAGACAATGAGCATATAGCATGCACAATGGATGAGTCATGATGGCATGGCCAGAGTAGGCAATAGCCGACACGCGGATCCACTCCCTGCCTGAGAGCGGTGAGATGGAGATCAATGGGGACGCACGAGGGATGAGACATGACGATGATACATGAGACATGTGGCATGAGACACGAGACATAGATGAGAAACTGGCATCACACATGGGGCACGAGACATGGGACATGGGACATGGGACATGGGACATGGGACATGGGCATCACGAGGCGAGCAACAAAGCTAAAGCCTCTTCTTTCTATGCAGAAGGCGTAGAAAGCTACGAGGAAGAAGGAGACATGCAGCAGGAAATGAGAGGCTGAGAAACAGAGGAAATTTGGGTGGGGCAAGCATCACGAGGCGAGCAGCAAAGCTTACCAGAGCAAAAGGCGTAGATAGCTGCGAAGAAGACTGGGACATGCAGCAGCAGCTGAAAGGCTATGAAAGGGAGGATCCAAGGGTGGGCAGCAAAATGACCCACCAGTGCAAAAGGCGTAGATGGCTTCGAGGAAAAAGGGCACATGCAGCAGGAACTGAGAGATGACGAGCGAGAGGAACCACGGCTGGGGCGAGCCTGTGAATGGGGGAGAGGTGGGGGGAGGGGGTGGTGGAAGTAGGAAGGGATAAAAGGTGCATTGCAATGTGGTGACCAGGGAGCACTGAGGGCACATGCAGCAGGAACTGAGAGATGACGAGCGAGAGGAACCACGGCTGGGGCGAGCCTGTGACGGGGGACGGGGGTGAGGGAGGGGTGGGGGGAAGGAAGTGGGGAGGGGGTGGAAGTAGAAGAAGGGATAAACGGTGCATTGAGGCGCCTCAAAATCAATAAGGAGACGTGCAGCAGGAACTGGGGATGACGAGGGAGAGGAACCATGGCTGGGGCGAGCCTGTGAGGGGGTTGGATGGAAGCAGAAGAGGGGTAAGCGGTGTACTGAGGGGGAATGGCAGCAGCATCTGGGAGAAAACGAGGGAAAGGAACCATAGCTAGGGTGAGCTTATGGGGGGTGGATGGAAGCAGAAGAGGGGAAAACCGTGCACTGAGGGGGAATGGCAGCAGCAGCTGAAAGGAAACGAGGGAGATGAATCAGGGCTGGGGTGAGCAGCGAGCCTGAGGGGGGGGTGGGTGGAAGGAGGAGAGGCGGTGAAAGGAGGTGAGGAGGAGAAAGGAGAAGAGCGTTTGGGGGAGAAGAGTGGGAAAAGCGAGAAGGGGCAGGGTGCATTGAGGCGGAATAAGGAGCAGCAGAAGCTGAGAGGCAACAAAGGAGAGGAACCAGGGCTGGAGAGATTGACTTTTAAGTCAACCCAAAAGTCATCTCCAGGTGTGCCACATGAGGACACAGCCTGAGAAGCTGTGTTCATTTCCCTCATATTTCGTATCCCAGAGCAATTTTTAATGAAGTTTACAACAGGAAAGTTCTCCCCGCGTGCCATGACGTCACGGCACGTGTGCATCACATTTGAAAAGAGGGCACGCGGCCGCTTCTCTATTCGCGCGACGCATTATCCATGCGGCTTTTAGAAAGGAAATGAAATGATCAGGTGCCACGTCACAACGCATTTTCTAGCAGCCTCAAACGTGTAACGCCTCTGGGATACTAAGAACGCGTGGCAGCATTTTCTAGCAGCCTCAAACAGATAAATAAGCTCACCGACGAGGAAGTCGCCTGATGTCTCGACGTGCCACGTCACAGCGCGGCGTAGCGCCTCTGGGAAGAAAACACGTGGCAGTAGCATCTGCGCGTCGATGAGAACAGCGGTGAGCACGTGGACGACGAAGAAGAGCACGAAGAATATGTCGAACGGACGCTGCGTGAGCGGCACGGCTCGCGTGATGCTCGTTGTCGTCGTCATAATCGCGCGAATGTGCGAAGACTCTGGGAAGGTGCTGGTGTTACGCTTAGGACTAGGTTCAGGCTTTGAGCCGTACTGAAGCGCCGTTCCCGGCCGTTGGCGTGCCTTTCGTGGCTCCTAAAGTCAATAGATTATTGATAGAACGCGATGCGTGCCGCGCGTGTTGATGTAAAAACTACGCTAAACGCGCTTGTGAGCTGCAATCGCAGTCCGCCACTCGTAATACGGTCCACTTTTTTCCACTGAACATTTTTTTTTGGGTTGCGAAGCAACCCTTTACGATCGATTTTGCCAAATTTTATTTTCATATTTATATTTTTTATAAAATCATGAAAATAAAATTTGTCAACTACAATAATACCCTTCCCATACTGTATGCATGTTGAGCAGTTTTGAATACGGTACTGTTCATAGTGCATTAAACCAAATGATATTTTTGCAATTGTTTAGTGTAGATTTGCTGTACTGTTTGCATTATATGTTACTGTTAGATGATGCCGTGTAATGATAAAGAGATGTATGCGTAATGCATAAATGATGATATGCAATGCATAATGCATGGAATGATGCTATATAATGCATGTGATATGTCATGAATGATACACATGCACATGATAAAATGCGTGACAGTTAACAACCCAAAAACTAAGCTACCGCCATCCCCTGCCTAGCATGGGGGGGAGGTCAATAGCTTAGCTTTTGAATAATCAACTACCACATGAAACAACACAATCTGTGAAGTCTAAAAACGAGATCAACCTACCAAATCCAGTTCAAGTGAGCGTACCCGTTCGAGTGTAACTCAATGAACCTTTGGGAAATGATAGAATTGATTCTCATTTCTAAAAACCACAGACATGCATTGTTAATGAAATAACAGATGGATAATGATATGGTAGATGAATGCCACACATACGGACACATACGCACGCAATGAGACGAACAGACGCACGCACAGAAGCTCGAAACAAGTCAATGCAAAAAGAGCTTACGAAGAAAAAAAAAAAAAAAGCACAGAAGATGCAAAAGATCACTACCAAGCAATACAACACAATTAGACCTAATCGCCACAAATGTGATCGTTCCTCCTTTAAAAAAGACCTTCAATTCCTGAATGGTACAGCAAAGCCTCTGAAAAGTAGGAAATAGGGAAACGAAAGGGGGGAAATGGGGAATAGAAGTTGAGGCGATATAGATGGGATAGAGAGAGAGAGAGAGAGAGAGAGAGAGAGAGAGAGAGAGAGAGAGAGAGAGAGAGAGAGAGAGAGAGAGAGAGCGAGAGAGAGAGAGAGAGAGAGAGAGCGAGAGAGAGAGAGAGAGAGAGAGAGCGAGAGAGAGAGAGAGAGAGAGAGAGAGTGAGAGAGCGAGAGAGAGAGATGTTAAACTGTATTATGCTTGTAGGCTGTAGTGGGGTAGCCAATATGGGGTACAACCCCAACTAGGGTTTCATATTTGTACCCAAAACTTCTGCTAGTTCATCCATTCTTGCCTAGTTACTTTGAGATGGTATTCAGAGCAGGAGGTCCCTAGGACCTACCGACCGTTTTTTTTTTTAAGGGCCCACCACCGCTCGCATGCGGTTACCATGCTACCCCGTGCCCTAGCCTCGTAGCGCCCTCGTGCGCCCTCGTTAGCGCCCTCGCGCGCCCCTCGTTAGCGCCCTCGCGCGCCCCTCGTTAGCGCCCTCGCGCACCCTCGTTAGCGCCCTCGCGCGCCCCTCGTTAGCGCCCTCGCGCGCCCCTTGCTAGCGCCCTCGCGCGCCCCTCGCTAGCGCCCTCGCGCGCCCCTCGCAGAGTCGCCCGCCCGCCGCGCTGCCTGCTCGCAGCGTCGCCCGCTCGCCCCGCTGCCCGCTTCGCAGCCCGCTCGCCCCGCTGCCCGCTTCGCGGCCCGCCCGCCCGCTCGCTGCTCGCTTCGCGGCCCGCCCGCTTCGCAGCCCGCTCGCCCCGCTGCCCGCTTCGCGGCCCGCCCGCCCGCTCGCTGCCCGCTTCGCGGCCCGCCCGCTTCGCTGCCCGCTCGCAGCGCCGCCCGCCCGCCCGCTACCTGCTTCGTGGCGTCGCCCGCCCGCCCGCTGCCCGCTTCGCAGCGTCGCCCGCTCGCTCGCTGCCCGCTCGCAGCGTCGCCCGCCCGCCCGCTGCCCGCTCGCAACGTCGCCCTCCCGCCTCGCTGCCCGCTTGCAGCGTCGCCCGCCCGCCCGCTGCCCGCTTGCAGCGTCGCCCGCCCGCCCGCTGCCCGCTTCGCAGCCGCCCGCCGCGCTGCCCGCTCGCCGCGTCGCCCGCCCGCCCCGCTGCCCGCTTCGCAGCCCGCCCGCCGCACTTCCCGCCTGCAGCGCCGCCCGCCTCGCCTGCTGCTCCCTGACTGTGCACCGCCGCTTGCTCCTGCTGTGGCTGCTAGCTTCGCTCTAGCGCGTCCCCTCTGCTGCTGCCGCTGCTCTGCTGTGCCCTCACGCCTGAGCTATGGCCTCTATTCGCGTTCTTTCCTTCGATGCTGAGGGCCGTCCCGTGCAGTTCACTTCCTGGCTCGATGACCTGCAGTTGTATCTTATGAGCAATAGCACGGACCACATCTCCCTCTATGACTACGCGTCTGGTGCTGCCGCTGCTCCTGCTGCCACAGCCGAGCTTAGTGTACGTTCACAGTGGCAGACTCGTGACGCTGCAGCTCGCCTGGCTATTCGCAGTCACCTGCCGTTAGCTGAGCTAGAGCACTTTGGCGACTGCAAAACCGCTAAGGCCCTATATGACGCTGTCGTTGCTCGCTACTCCTCACCTGCCACAGCCGAGCTTAGCCGTCTCATGCTGCCTTACCTGTTCCCTGACCTGTCCACCTTTGCTACAGTCGCCGATCTTATCACCCACCTTCGCACTAGTGATGCTCGCCTGCGTGCCGCCCTTCCCACCGAGTTCTGCGCTAAGAACCCCCCTCCCCTGTACTGGGCACTCCACTTCATAGTCACCCGTCTCCCTGACACCCTCAGCTCAGTGCGCGACTATTTCCTTGCTCGCTGTCCCACTGAGCTCACTGTCGCCCTCCTAGAGGAGAAGCTGCTAGCAGCCGAGAAGAGCATTGTGGCTGTTGGTGCTGCTCGCGGCGCTCCTCGCACCCCCATCTTTGAGGGGTGCTCTCCCTCTCCCCTCGCTCCCTCCTATGCTACTGCTGCTGCTGTTGACTTCCTTGGTGCTGAGTCTGCTGGCGCTGCTTCTGCTCCTGGTGGGAGGCGCCGCACCGGCAAGGGCAAGGGGGGCAAGGGTGGCGGGGGTGGCGCTGGGGGGGGAGGGGGTGGGGGAGGTGGGGGGGGAGGCGGTGCTGGAGGGAGCGGTGGCGGGAGTGCCGGTGGGAGTGGGGCCGGCGGCGGAGGCGGGGGCGGCGGCGGGAGCAGTGGCGGTGGTGGCAGCGGCGGCAGTGGCGGCGGTGGCGGTAGTGGCGGTGGCGGTGGCGGTGGTGGCGGTCGGAGCGGAGGTAGTGGCGGCGGTGGAGGTCGGAGTGGAGGCACCGGCTCGGGCCAGAGCTCCCAGCAGCAGCAGCGTCCCCAGTCGACCCAGCAGCTTCGTGAGTGGCTTGCTCAGCGTGGGACGTCGGGGGGCAGTGGCCGCTGTTCCTATGTCATTCGCACAGGTGATCGCAAGGGGCAGACGTGTGGAAAGTTCCACACTCAGTACCGCTGCTTCTTCCGCCTTGACGACGCTTGGCGTGAGGAGATGGGCGAGGATGTTGAGCGCCCTCGCTGGGCTGAGCTGATGAGGGCTGGTGTTGATATCTTTGCTCTTGACTATGATGCTATTATTGCTGCCATGTATGCATTGACTGTTAGTGCCGAGGGAGACTGTTACTTGTGTGTGCCGCCTGACCCAGGTATAGGGCCCGCTGCCCTAGGTACTAGTGAGTCTGCTCTCTCTGGTATGGTGCCCCCTGTACCTGCTCCCTCCAGCACTGTCCCTGCTGCTTGCGAGTCTGCTCTCTCAGGTACAGCACCCACAGAGACTGCTCTCTCAGGTACTGCACCGGCTGAGACCTGTCACACCTTCACCCTTGACTCAGGTGCTTCCCGCTGCTTCTTTCGTGACCGTACTGAGCTCACACCGCTTCCTGCACCGGTCCCAGTCTCCTTGGCTGACCCCTCTGGGGGCCCAGTCCTTGCCCAGTCCACCACTGTGCTCCCTTGTCCGGCGGTTCCGTCTGGCTCGTTGACGGGTTTCCACCTCCCCTCGTTCTCGACGAACCTGGTGAGCAACGCTGTCATCCAGGATCAGTGGGTTGACACCTTTACCCCTGGAGGACAGCGTGTGGCGATCTGCACGTGCTCCAGGACCGGCCGTCACCTGGCTACGTTTACTCGTCGGCCGGGGTCGAGTCTCTACACACTGACCACTGCGTCTCCTCAGGTCGCTGCTGTCGGTCAGGTGTCCGCGTCAGGTCTGGTGGCCCACGCCTGTGAGTGTCGTTCCCTGTCGCACCAGACTCTTCTCTGGCACCACCGCCTGGGTCACCCCTCCTTGCCACGCCTCCGTGGCATGCACCGTCGCCGCCTTGTGTCTGGTCTTCCCAGGTCCCTCCCTCCTCTCCCTTCCTCGCCTGCGCCGCCTTGCCTTCCTTGCGTCGAGGGGCGGCAGCGCGCCGCTCCTCACTCCTCCTCGTTCCCCCCGACAGAGGCTCCTCTGCAGACCCTCCACCTGGACGTGTGGGGCCCAGCCCGCGTTCGTGGTCAGGGCGGTGAGCGGTACTTTTTGCTGGTTGTCGACGACTACTCGCGTTACACCACGGTCTTCCCCTTGCGCACCAAGGGTGAGGTCCCTGCTGTTCTGATCCCTTGGATCCGCACAGTTCGTCTCCAGCTCCGCCGCCGTTTCCGGACGGATCTTCCTGTCCTGCGTCTGCACTCTGACAGAGGTGGTGAGTTTTCCTCCGACCTCTTGAGGACCTTCTGTCAGGCGGAGGGCATCGAGCAGACCTTCACGCTTCCGGACTCCCCACAGCAGAATGGGGTTGCTGAGCGCCGCATTGGCCTGGTCATGGAGGTCGCTCGTACCTCCTTGGTCCACGCGGCGGCTCCCCATTTTCTGTGGCCGTTTGCTGTCCGGTACGCCGCGCATCAGCTCAACCTCTGGCCCCGTGTCTCCTTGCCGGAGACCTCGCCCACACTGCGTTGGACGGGGGAGGTTGGCGATGCGTCGCGCTTCCGGGTGTGGGGTGCTCGTGCCCTTGTCCGCGATACGTCCGCGGACAAGCTCTCCTCCCGCACGCTTCCCTGTGTCTTCCTTGGCTTTGTCCCTGACGCGCCGGGCTGGCAGTTTTACCACCCCACCTCGCGCCGGGTCTTCGCCTCTCAGGACGTCACCTTTGACGAGTCGGTCCCTTTTTACCGTCTCTTCCCCTACCGTACTGCCCCCCTCCCTCCCCCGCCGCTTTTCCTTGCTCCTGGTCCCCCTCCGGTAGACCCCCTTCCCCCTCAGGGTCCTGCTCCTTCAGGTGTCTCTCAGGTAGACCCTCCTCCCGTCACTGAGCCTGTCGAGGTCACAGGTGACTCAGGTGCTGCTGCAGGTGGTGCTGCTGGGAGTGCTGAGCCTGCGGGTGCTGGGCCTGGGGGTGCTGGGACTACGGGTGCTGGAGCTGAGGGTACTGTGCCTGAGAGTTCGGCGCCTGGGGGTGCTGAGCCTGGGGGTGCTGCGACTGGGGGTGCTGAGCCGGCGTGTGCGGAGTCTGGGGGTGCTGGGTCTGGGGGTGCTGCGCCTGCGGGTACTGAGCCTGGGGGTGCTGCTACTGAGCCTACGGAGCCTCGGGTTGCTGCGTCTGGGGGTGCTCCGGTTCGGGGTGCTGAGCAGTCTCTCACACCACAGCAGCTTCGTGACTGGTACGTCCGGCGCTTTCGCCGTCCTAGTGGCTCGACTGGAGCTGCTGGAGCTGGGGACTCTGGAGCTGGCGGCGCTAGCGGAGTTGTAGCTGCCGACTCTGGGGGTGCTCTTCCTTGCGGTGCTGCGGACCCTGGGGGTGGTGCTGCTGCTGGTGCTGCGGACCCACCTGGTGGAGCTGCTGCTGGAGCTGAGGACCCGGACGGTGGAGCTGCTACTGGTGCTGCGGAGCCGAGCGGTGGCGCTGCTGCTGGTGCTGAGGACCCGGGCGTTGGAGCTGCTGCTGGTGCTGAGGACCCTGCCGCTGGTGTCTCTGCTGGTTCTGGAGACGCTGCGCGGCCGCGACCGTACTTCGTTCCGCTCCTTCAGCAGGTTCTTGGTCAGGCTCCTCCTCCTTGTCCTCCTCCCTCCGTAGAGTGTCCTCCACCTGTCCAGCCGCAGTCACAGTTACCGCCTGCCTCGCCTCTCCCTGCTCCCTCTCCTTACGCTGGTCCCACAGGAGGTCTTACAGAGCGTCGTGAGCCTGAGTCTCGTCCTGCGTCGCCTGTCCGTACTGCTCGCACTGGTCGTCGTGTCCGTCGTGAGCGTCCTCCTCCTGTCCCAGGCACTCACTACATGACTCTGCGTCCCTCTACTGCTCCTCAGCGTGTCCCTCTGCCGTCTCCTCCTGCGTCCTCTTTGCCTGCTGTTCCGGACCCTGAGTCTGACCAGTATCGTGCTGAGCACCCTACTGTCACGCGTCTTCTAGCTACTACTGTTACTGACCCTACCTTTGAGTCCTCGGCTGCGTCTGCTCTGGTCGCTGAGTTGGTTGACTTTGCTGCTGCCTCTCGTCTAGACTACGCTGCTAGCCTTGTTGCTGGGTCTGAGTCTGCGTCTGTCTGTCCTCCGTCCGTCGGGGGTGAGTGTGCTCTTGGCACGGACGTCCTTGAGGAAAGGCAGGAGGACTTTGACTCTCTCGCGGCTGCTGTACCTCATCTCGTGGCCTGGTTGCTTGCCCCTGAGGGAGACCCGGATGCACTAGACATCCCCACTCCGCGCACTTACGCAGAGGCGATCTCGGGTCCCTACTCCTCTCAGTGGCAGACAGCCATGAACGCAGAGATGGCATCCTGGAAGTCCACAGGCACCTACGTCGACGAGGTTCTCCCTCCTGGGGCGAACATCGTCGATGGCATGTGGATTTTCAGGGTGAAGCGGCCGCCAGGTTCTCCGCCTGTCTTCAAGGCTCGTTACGTTGCTAGAGGCTTCAGTCAGCGTCAGGGGGTCGACTTCTTCCAGACCTTCTCCCCCACCCCGAAGATGACCACTCTTCGGGTTCTGCTGCACGTTGCTGCTCAGCGTGACTACGAGCTTCACTCTCTTGACTTCAGCACAGCGTTCCTGCAAGGCAGCCTGCACGAGGAGATCTGGCTGCGCCGCCCACCTGGCTTTACTGGGTCGTTTCCTCCTGGTACCCAGTGGAGTCTCCGCCGGCCAGTCTACGGTCTCCGCCAGGCGCCACGCGAGTGGCACGACACACTGAGGACTACACTTGCGGCTCTTGGGTTCGCGCCGTCTACTGCTGACCCGTCGCTGTTTCTGCGCACTGACACGTCGCTGCCGCCGTTCTACATTCTCGTGTACGTCGACGACTTGGTCTTTGCTACTGCTGACACTGAGGCACTCGCTCGTGTGAAGTCGGAGCTGCAGAAGAGACACACCTGCACTGACCTGGGTGAGCTGCGTAGCTACCTTGGCTTGCAGATCACCCGGGACAGAGCTCGCCGCACCATCACCCTGACTCAGTCACACATGGTGCAGCAGGTCCTTCAGCGCTTCGGCTTCCAGTTCTCCTCACCACAGGCCACACCTCTGGCTACCAGCCACTCGCTCTCAGCTCCACCTCCGGACGAGTCCGTAGAGCCGAGTGGCCCGTACCCAGAGCTTGTGGGCTGCCTCATGTACCTGATGACTTGCACGCGACCTGACCTCGCGTACCCTCTTAGCATCCTTGCTCGTTACGTTGCGCCTGGGAGACACAGGCGAGAGCACTGGGAGGCTGCTAAGAGGGTGCTGCGCTACTTGTGCAGTACATCAGGCATGGGGCTGGTGCTTGGAGGACGCGACAGAGTTGTCCTCACTGGCCACTCGGACGCTTCTTGGGTGGACGACCTGGCTACGCAGCGGTCGTCACAGGGTTACACCTTCAGCCTTGGCTCTGGTTCTGTCTCGTGGCGGTCCACCCGCTCTTCCTCTGTTCTCGGCTCTAGTTGTGAGGCTGAGATCTACGCCACAGCCATGGCTGCACAGGAGTTACGCTGGCTCACCTACCTGCTGACTGACTTGGGAGAGCGGCCTAGTTCTCCTCCAGTTCTGTACGGTGACAACAAGGCGGCTCTTGCCTTGTGTCAGGAGCACAGACTGGAGCACAGGACGAAGCACATTGCTCTTCGCTACTTTCTTGCTCGAGAGCTTCAGCAGCGCGGTCAGCTTCGGCTTGTGTACGTGGACTCGAAGGCCAACACTGCTGATATCTTCACCAAGGCGCTCCCGCCTAGTGATCATCAGCGGCACTGTACTTCTTTAGGCCTTGTGTCCACGTTTCCTCACTTGCTCACTGCTTGACATTCTTTGTACTGTACTTTATATATATCTTGTTACTTGCTTGCTAGGTTTTGATCACTGTGTTGTTTGTCTTGTACTATATCTAGCACTGCATGTGAACTGGCCTTGTGGCCTTTACTTGTGCTCGGAGCGTGGTGACGTTGTGATCCACCCTGGGCTTTGCTTTGCTTTGCTGGACTGGTCTTGTGACCCTTTGTTCTCCCCCACTTTGCCTATGGGGGTGTGTTAAACTGTATTATGCTTGTAGGCTGTAGTGGGGTAGCCAATATGGGGTACAACCCCAACTAGGGTTTCATATTTGTACCCAAAACTTCTGCTAGTTCATCCATTCTTGCCTAGTTACTTTGAGAGCGAGAGAGAGAGAGAGAGAGAGAGAGAGAGAGAGAGAGAGAGAGAGAGAGAGAGAGAGAGAGAGAGAGAGAGAGAGAGAGAGAGAGAGAGAGAGAGAGAGAGAGAGAGAGAGAGAGAGAGAGAGAGAGAGAGAGAGAGAGAGAGAGAGAGAGAGTTCATAACTAGGGTTCAAAAGAACTTCATGTATTATTAAAAAAATGACGGTTACGAGAATATGGCGGTTAGGAGAATATGACGGTTCTAAACCGAAGAAGAGCAAAAAGGGGAAGAAAATGTGTAAATACGAAAAGGAATGATGCACTAAACGAACGGAAGTCATGATGAAGAATAGAAGAACCAGATGCAGGATTATCTACAAAGAATAGCTAAAGTATTTACAAAGCGCCAAAGAAATTGAGACAAAAACGAAAAACAGAAACGAAATGGATGAAGGAATTATGCGGCAAATCTAAAAGATGTGAAAGTGAGACGAAAAACTGGCATTGCATGCTGAAAAGGAAGAACGACCTGGACGATCGTCGAAATGGATTAAATCCGGCAGAAAAACAACTCGTTTCTAAGTCTAAACGGCTGAAACAGAATGAAAACGGTTTAGACAGACGAATCCACTATCATCTTAAGTCTAAAACTAGTCCTTAAGGCTCACCTAGGTAGTAGTAGCTGAGTATAGGAGTCGGGGGCGTCAATGGAGTAGCCTGGAGAAGATGAAGCAGAACGACACGAAGCAGAAAAGGACTTCGTCGACCAATAATTGGTCTGTAAGTTTTAAAGAAAACATTTTCACGTTGCATTTAGCGTAGTGGTTTTGAAGTTTCGCTTAAATTCCGAAGGTCTTAGGTTCGATTCCCAACGCGAAGAATTTTGCAAATCTCAGTCTTGAGTTACAGACTCGGTATAAGTAGTTAGGTAATCATTCAAAACGAGATCCATAGTTAGTAATATAAGTTGTAAAACATATGTTAATAATGCAAAACGCTTAGCAACCCTAGGACGACATTGTCGCCTCTTGTTTTTTTTTATTCGAAATATGCATTTACCACATCGTCAAGAGGTTTTAGATCGGTCGAAGAACCATTATGCGAGGTCCAAATCGGTGCTTGGAGTCGAACTTGAGAAAGCATTTTCTGGCTTGGGTTGTTTTGTGTCTGATTGCTACGAACATGTGCGACTCTCGCAAGCATACCGTGTGCTGCGGAATCGTTTCGCTTCGACTGACCTCGACGCTCAAGAATCTCGCGGCGAAGTGAAAGTGCTTACTTTTGCTCAAGTCCGCGATTTTGATACTTAGGGTTACTTCAAGCTAGGTCTGGCAGCAGGTGCGGTTTTCAGGCAATGTCGTACAGCAGGCGATTATTTCGCTCATTACACGACACACAGTGCTGAGCACCTTAGCAATCGACTGCTCCGTTCTACTAACATTCGCAGACTAACCTACCAGAGTTAGGATACTCGACTTAGATCGTGGTCCGCAAAGTCTCGATCCTTTGCCGTGGTGAGTGCCAGTCGTGAACACCCAAGCAGCAGCGAGCACGGAATAAGGTTTGGGTTGGGTGGTTTCACGAGATTACGTGGGTAGTGAGTGACGATAACCCAGGATAGCGGTCGTCGTCACTCCTGTGAAATATCAAAAAGCGGTTGGATCATTAGGGTTTTTGGGGATCTAGTGGGACCAATTAGGGTAAATGCGATAAGTGGACCTCCGCCCCCTAGAGCCAGGGGATGATGTGAGAGACGAGCAAGCGGTAGGATTGAATTCACGGGAGCTGGATGTGAGATACACGAGAGGGTGAGGAACAGCCTTGCGGCTGCCTGCCAGCACATTGTCTCGTAGTCCAGTTATCCCGTTGATGATAAACAGAATCTCATTAACGGAATCTCGTTTTCGCCGGAAGTTTCCAGCGTAATTGTGGCGTCCGCGGTGCCGCTGTTACAAATCCACCGGGGTTCGCAAAAGGTGCAGATTCATGTTGCGAATTTGTCGTTTCTGAATATCGAAACAAAAGAAGCTTGACAGAGGCTCGAGCCATAGTTTCACTGGAGCTTAGTCGTAACACCCGCCGCTGCGGTCAGGGTTAAGGGCTGGTCAGTTTAAGTTGTCTAGGCCGTCCCCCATTGCCCCCACTTCGTACCTTGTCCCTCTCAGCCTTTTGCCCCTTGTTCCACACCATTTTTGGTTTCTTAAAAGTTTACTCTTCCACTGATCAGCTTGCATCAGCCCATCGCCATGACTCTCCCTCTTATTTCCTCAACATCACTCCCCATCACCTCCCATCACCCCATCGCCATGACTCGAGCGCTGAAGCTTGTGAAGAGTGCGCTGGGTCGTGTGAGCGTGGGGAGGGTGAGCAGATTCTCTGCGTCGTCCTCCCTCTGCGGCAGCAACCTATTCAGCCTTTTTCATTCCTCGTGCTCTTCCCGCATCACCCCCCTCCAACCCTTGCCAGCTGCCACCCCTCTGCCGCCATGGCGCGCGCGCGGAAGCATGTGAAGGCGGGTGCGCTGGGCGAGGCTTGTCACGCCCTTTCTCATCCCCCATCACTTCCCATCAACCCCCTCCACCCCTCACCAGCTGCCATCGCTACATCGCCATGACGCGAGCGCGGAAGCATGTGAAGGCGGGTGCGCTGGGCGAGCGTGTGAGTGTGGGCGAGGGCGAGCAGATTCTGCGTGTTGTGGCTCCCAGGGGCAGCAACCTCATCGAGGTGAGAGATGAGGTGGTCTTTTCAGGCAAAGCGAGAGGGTGGGGGGAGTGGGGGAGGAGTGGCAGGATGGGGTACATTTCAGGGGCAGCAACTCATTAAGGTCTTTTGTTCTGTTCTGTTTTTTTTTGCCTTCCCGCCTCCCTTGCACTCTCTCCAACCCCCCTTCCTCCCCCCTTCTCCGCTCCCCTAATCCCTGCCCCGCTTCGCCACCCCTGCTCCCTCCTCCTGCCCTCTTCTTCTGCTGGTTTCTCTTCTCCGTCTCCCCCTCTGCTCCCTCAGCTGGAGAATGGCAGGAGCTCAGAAATACATGTTCTCTCTCTCTTCTCCTTTCCTCCGCTCCTCCCATCCGCCCCGACAGCTGGAGGATGTCAAGGGCACGGCCATGCTGTGCATGCTGCCTGCCAAGTTCCACCGAATGCTGTGGCTCAAAAGAGGTGAGAGTGGGTCGAGCGAGGTGTGAGTGGGTGAAGCAAGGTCTTGCTGGTCAAGAGAGCAGGGCATGGGTCAAGAAAGGATGGAATTACTCTCAAGTGATGGGAGCGATTTTAGAGAACTGTAAGCGGTATGTAGCACCCTTCTTGCAGCGCAGCCTCGTTCGTGGCTGATCATGCGCCTACACCATCATGTGACCACTCGGACTATTTTTCTCTACTTCTATGGCCCCGTTACTCTCCTTTTTGTGACAAATGTCGAAATATCTCACAATGCATTTTGTTCTCACATCTGGCGCGTCACCTGACTAGCAAATCTCATACCTCTTTCACTCACATCACTGCAGCATGAATTTTTCTTATTAATATGCTCCTTCCCTCCTCCCTTCCCCCCCTGCCCCACCCACCAGGCAGTTTCGTGGTGGCAGACGTGAGTGCAGCAGAGGAGGTGGATAAGGCGGGCGGGAGAGTGAGAGGCAGCATAACGGCTGTGCTATTTGATCATCACATTAAAGAACTCGTAGCCTCCAATCAGTGGTTCGTACAGAGCTGTTGCCGCCGCATCTCTCCTATTTTTTTCCCGGCTTCTTGCTTCTGTATTCTCACCACCAGCCCTTGTGTGCTTCTTTATTTGCATCTCAGTTAATTCCGTGAGAATGCAACCATAAGCTTTTTTTCCACCCATCTCTCTCTTTGGTAAATTGATTTAATAAATTGGCAGGCCAGAGGCATTTGCAGAAGCAGTGGTCAAAGAAAGAGCAGGAGCATCAACAGCAGCGCCACTGGAGCAAAGCCAACAGGAGCCGCAAAAGCAAGGTGCAGAGCACAGCTCATCTGGAGAGGAAGGGCAGGGTTTGCGGAGTTCCCAAGGTGGCGCAGGGGAGGGGCCAGAGGAGTCAAGGCAAAGACCGAGAGGAGATGGGCAGATGAAGGAAGTGGGTGTGGGAGAGGAAGAGGAGGGTGAAGATGAGGACGATGGATTGCCTCCATTGGAGAGGAATCCAAATCATCGACCAATGTTTGTTGAGGAGGATGTTTCAGATGATGAAGACAGTGAGGAGGATGATGAGTAGTCCAATGTTGATTATGTGTCTAGAAGAGATTTTGTGCACATCATTGTGGTTTGAAGCATTATTTAAGTGCTAATTTTATTCCAACTCGTTGACATGTATAATCTTAGCTGATGGCTGTTGCATTGAAGCTTATGGAAGTCATTACCGAATGTAAAGTCATGTTGGGATCACATACTTCAAATTCATATATCCGTGTGAGCTATAGGGAGTACAACTCTCAGCCTCCCTCTCGTGCCTTCTCGCAATCCCTAGATCGTTGACAAGCCGCCGCTCTTGGACGTCATACGTCCAGCAGTCACAAGTATGTTGTCATGATCAAATTCGCGAAAGCACTTCTAATTTTACGACACACTGTCTTGCGAGCCTTTGACGAGAATGAGTGCAATTGATTACAGGTCTGGTGGTAACCGCTGGTCGGATTAGTGTCCGTTTGAGACGGAGGGAAATGGCAGGTATGGGGCGAGACGCCACGAATTCGCACGGAACTGGAAAACCAGAGAAGCCGCATCGAGAATCCCGCACGTAGTGCTGTCCTCGATTCATCCCGCCAATTTTGTCTGACGCGGAGCGTCAGCAACGAACACCGACTCTGACACCCCAACTCGCAATCACCTCCGAAGGTGCGAAATACTACCACGGGCAGGATGGGAAACGATGACGTGCTGGTACATTAGCGCTTGTTCCTCTGCCCGGAATTTCCGCAGAAATCGTTCCTGCCCTACCCGAAATTCACAGTTCGGTTCGGGATTCCATGCAGAGAGCCTTTCCCTCTACGGGGACTTCACAGAGCCTCTCCTTGCCTCCCCTCTGCTGGACTCCTTCAGCTCCAAACGATTACTTAGGGAGCAAATCCCACTTGTTCATTCAAGTTTCGTGCTCTGACTCTCAAGCTCAAGCTTACTCCCTGATATTCGAGACCCACCCGCTCTTACTTCGAGCCTAAATCTTTATTGAAAGCACCGAATCTTCGTCCTCCTGCCTCTTAAAAGTCATCTCGATGGCGAATCTGTCTCTGCTGGCTTCCAGCACGGCTGCTGGCGCTACAAGCAACAGCAGCAGCAATAGCGATGCCAGCAGGAAGGACAGACGGCCGAACTCGGACACCAGGAGGCTGCGCACGACCAAGAAAGGCTTCAGCCCTTTCTTTGCCGCGTACAGGATCGGCAGATTCGACGAGGAACAGAAGTTAGTCCAGCAGAGGTCCTTCCGTGGACCTCCTGGCTTCTCCCCGCTGCGTCCAGCTGCCGTGAATGCTGTGGTGAAGGCTGCTGTTCATGTCGCCTGTGATCTGCCAAAGAGGCAGCAACATGCGACACAGCAGAAGAAAAAGCAACGATCACTGAAATCGGTTTCGCTGGCTGCGATTTCAAGCATGCCATCGAAGATCCCAAGGCCTGCATGCTCAAGAAAGTCCGTGAAGGTCCCTGAGGCGAGTGCTACGAGCAGCACCAGATCAGCAAGAGTTTCTGAAACTGGAAGCTCCTTGGCGGAGAAAGGTTTATCAAAGCTGCAACAAATGAAGGTGATGTTTGAACTTTCCAGAATGACCAAGGCAAAAATTTCTGTGCCTGTTGCGGCTGTTGCCGCATGAGCTATGAAAAATGGAGGAAATGCGAAGCTGGCTGATGACTTTCTGTTGACACCAAGTTGTTTCTGTGATGGCTAGCCCTAAGGTGGTGCTGGCACAGAGACAACAGTAGCATAGCATATCAGATGTTTCTGTGTGCTAATTTATGCTAGATACTTAACTGGAAGTTTAGTAACTTGTACATAATACTCCTGTACATATGTTAGTGCACGCTATTGCCCTGAAGGGTGGTGAAGATCTAAACAAGTGACGATCTTGCAGATAGGAGTATGTGGAAACATAGTCAGCACTTAGGGTTTGGTGTGTCCACTGGGTTCCTCCTTCTATTCCTTCCCCCCCATCATTTTTCTGTTACCCAGCTTTTCCCTTCCTACCTTTACTGTCTTCACTGCTCTCCCGCCTTCAAGCCTTAGATCGCAATGGTTGTTGTGGGTTCCCAGACTGCAGTAACATTAACTTGATTCCAGTGACTTGCAATGGTTATTGTGGGTTTTCAGACTGATTTCCAATGTCCCACTCTCTATGTAGTCACTAATTCCAGTCTATACCCGTTTCAGTTACTCATTCTATTCACTGATTCCAGTGATTCGTCAAAGTGACACATTCAGTCACCGAGTTGAGTGCAGTGACTGATATAACTGGTTTTGTTTACTTCGCCCAGTAAGTAACTGATTTGAAACCAGTGTCTCATTGACTCGTTCCAGTCACCATCTAGCTTTAGTGACTTATTCTGGTTGGTCACTGAGAATCCAATGACTAGTTTTAGTCTCTCAATCTACTAACTGATTCCATTACTTGTTTCAGTGGCAGACTTATTCCAGTGACTCATTCCAGTCACTGACTGACAGCAACCTGTTTCCGGTGACTCATTCCAGTCACTGAATATCATTAATAGTTGCGATGACGCATTCCAACCACGCTCACGATTTGGCTTGTTTCACTAACTCATTCCAGTCACTGGTTTCAGTGACTTGTTCCAGTGGCTCGTCACTGACTATGGTGGCTTACTTTATTGACTCGATCCAGTCGTTAAATGTTATTGACATATTTCAGTGACTTATTTACTGATGACTTCCAGTTACTTGCTTAACTGGCCTGTTTCAGTGACTACTTTGGTTCAGTCCCTATTTTTGTGTACCTATTGCGGTTACTCGTTCCAAAACCTGAATAAAGTGACTTGATTAAGTGACATATTCAGTCATCGAGTGCTGTAAAATCTTTAGCGACTTGTTCCAGTCACCGACTTGAGTGACCTGTTTCAGTGACTGCTTTGGATCAGTCACTACTTCCATCTACGTTGTATCTATTGCGGCTTCTCAAACCAGTGGCACATTCAGTCTTTGAGTGCTGTGAAGTCTTCCAGCGACTCATTCTAGTCACAGATTCTCCTTTCATGACGTAGTGACGCATGCTGTTTCAGTTACTTAATCCGCGTCAATGATTTCACATGGTACTGTGACTACTTCAAATCACCAAGTTCCGTGATGTGTTCAGTGACTCCAGTGGCTTTTTTCCAGTGGCTCATTTCAGTAGCCGATTCCCATAACTTTTTTTTCATTCTAGCCGATTCCATACATTGGATGTCGTTGACTCGTTTCATTTCAGTGACTGATGTCAGTCGCCAATTCCCATGACTCGTTATACATGCTAGCCAATTCCAGTCATTGAATGTCTTTCACTAGTTTCAGTGACTCATTTCAGTCGCCGATTCCCATGACTCGTTTCAGATGCTTGCTAATTCCAGTCATTGGATGTCATTGGCTTGCTTCAGTGACTCATTTCAGTTGCCGATCTCCATGACTCGTTTTAGATGCTTGCTAATTCCAGTCATTGGATGTCATTGGCCTGTTTCGGTGGCTCATTTCAGTCGCCGATTCCCGTGACTCGTTTTACATGCTTGCTAGTTCCAGTCATTGGAGGTCATTGGCTTGTTTCGGGTTTCAGTCGCCAACTCCCATGACTCGTTTTACATGCTAGCTGGTTCCAGTCACTGGATGTAATTTGGCTTGTTTTAGTGACTCGTTTCAGTTGCCGATTCCCATGAGTCGTTTTTCATGCTAGCTGATTCCAGTTATTGGATGCCGTCGACTTGTTTCAGTGACTCATTTTAACTCTGACTTCAGCGGCGACTTGCTTCAGTCACCAACCCTACTTTCTCCGTCTCAATTCTTCTCTCCAAGCAGTGTTGTGGTGGCGAATATGAGCGCAGCAGAGGAGGCGGATAAGGCTGGCTGAGTGAGAGAGCACAGCAGCCGTGCACTTCGACGACCATATCAAATAACACGTAACCTTTGCCCAGATCTTTGCTACAAGCTAAACCTCTCTGTTCTTGCTTAGTTCTTCCCTGGCTTTCTTTAGCAAGCAATGAGTTTACCAACTGAAACATATCCCTGCAATCGGATCTATATTCCCTGCATCAACCAAAATCGCTTCAGGTGAAGAATCCACCGGTTCTCTCGTTTGTGTTTGTTCAATCCAATCCACTTGGTGTTCTGTTTTCTCTACTTGTCCAAGTAATGTTTCCTTTCCCACTCCCTCCTTACCCCTGCCCTTCAGCTTAGCAGAATATGACAGCACAAGGCAGAGCCACAACAGTCGCATTTCTGTCCGAGGATAATCAACAACAGAATCAGCGAGGTAGGGAAGTCTCAACTGCAGGAGAAGCGCGCGGTTTGTGGAATTCCCAAGGACGTGCATTGAATGGAGCGGAGGAGCAACGGCACAGTACAGCGAGACGAGGATGATGCTTGCGAGGGATCCAACTAATATTGAGGATGTCCCAGCTGGAATGAAAGTGGGATTTGCAGATGGACAGTCAGGTCTGGTCTAGCATGAAAAGGTGAAGCAGAGAGCTGAGGGAAGGCAACTCACAAAGTTGTCCCCTCAGTTTGCCTAAGGCTGTAATGTGGAGAAATTTTGTGTCATCTATATTATATTATATGTACACCCTTTCAGCATACTGTATCTTGTTTTTCATGCAAAAAATTGTAGAAATATGGTAGGAGTTGGCAAGGAATTGGCAAATCAATGGGATTCTTCTTATAAAATGGTTTTCAATGGTTTTCCTGCTGCTATTGGGGAAGAGAAACATAATTAGGATGAGTGGAATATTGTTGTTAAAAAATACTCGTCATGTTTTTGTTACAGATCAGCTTGCTCAACACTGTTTGTGCAAAAACGAGTACAGATCTTGATTCTTCACCGCCCCCTTCTCGTCAATCCCAAGGAACTGGGCACCAGCCTCGATGAACAAGCTCATCGTAGTTCCAGCTGTCACAACCATGGGTCGCCATTCTAGTTCGCGGAACCGCTTCGTACTCGTCGTGAAAGGTGTCGCGAGCATGTGTCGAGAATTTGGCGAAAGCTGTTTGAGTGCATGCCGGTAATGAAGCTGGTAACAGCTGGTCGCAAATTTGTCCGTTTGAGTCGGAGACAAAAGGCGGAAATGGGCCAGGCGCGGCGAAATCGCACGAAACTTGCAAATCAGCGAGAGCCGCCTAGAGTATTCCACACGTACCGCTTTCCTGCATTCATCCCGCTGAGTTCGCCTGACGCGTCGTGGTAGCACAACGGCCAGCGAGGCTATTCAGCCGAAAGCCTCATCGGAACTCGGTCGTCGGACCCGTTTTGCCAGTGTCGACGGGAGGGGTCGTCGGAGGAGGGCCTGACGAGGCGGGCGACTGACGCGCGTGCGGGCCCGCCAGCCTGGCCCAGGGCTGGGCCGAGCGCACGACCGCCGCCCTCCGAAATTGAACAGCGACCCACGTTACCGGGTGGGGTCGGCGAACTGGCGACCCCTCGCGCGAGGGAAAGTTACCCTCGCGCGAAGGCAGCCCACACGTGCTGCCTGCCCGCGAGGTCCTAGTAACCCATCGCGGCCTGCCCGGACGGGCAGGCGAGGGCCGTGCGAAAATACGGGCCCCCCTCGGGACACTCGACAATTTCGCGATTCGCAGCGGTGGCGCCACGTGTTCGCCCGTGGCTTCGCATCGGGCGCATGCGAAATTTTTGTCGAGGCGGAAATAAATTCTCTCCCATCGCATGCATTCTATCGTCGCGAACCGCTACGAAATCGACACGTGTCGATTGTAGCGTCGCTCCGCGCGCAGGAGGATTCGTGCGTCCCCTCGCCGACCTGGGCCAATGGACGCGAAGTCGACGCTCTACCAAGGCGGAGACGGACCACCTGTGCCACTTGCGCATCCGCCCTCCGAGCACTGCCGAGCCAGGCCCTGCACCCTTGGGCGATGCTGAACGGGCCTGGAGGGGGGGGGGGGGGCACCACCTCCTTTTCTCTGTGGAAGGTGGCTTCGCTCCGCATTTTCGGCATCTCTTTTGGATTTTCAAACATTGACAGCTCTGCGCCTCCCCTCTCTCCTACCAGAGCCGTCCGCCTCTTTTCTTAGTCGACAGATATGGAGCCGATCTCCGCCGCCGATAAGTCGGCGCCGACATCGGCCGACTTTCCCCTTCGGGTGCAAATGGGTCGCGGTCTCAGCTTCACCTTAGAGTGGAACGACTACGCCGTCCTTCGCGACCAAAAGAAAGAGTTCACCGAGAGATGCTTTGGACTCGCCATCAGGTGGGACGCGGGTAGTCGCGGTAGTCGAATAGGGAAGATGTCGGTGCCGACCAACCCTAGTAGGGCGCACTGTCGCCGATTGTCTTCCGACGTACGTCGGCGGGCGCGTTTGACGAAGCACGTCGACATGGCAGCGTTTGCTTACCAGCCATGTTCTCATCCCTCGTGCTCACTCGTGCGCTCAGGTTCGCTTGGTTTGACATTGGGCGGGACGACCTGCGGTTGTGGGTGCTGGGGATCGGCCCGCTTCGATCGGCCATGAAAGCCGCCGACCATTCTTGCTTTGCTAAGGCTTTCGACGCCGACATCGCCGCTATCCCGCTGAAATCGACGTGAGCTGTTACCCCGTTGTCCAGTCATCGTTTTTCAGTGTCGGCCGCATCAACGCCTTATGCTGTGGTCGACGCCGTCGTTTATTGCGTGTGCAGCGGCGGCCCGCTTCCAGGGTCACACTGCAGCGTCATAGCCATCCTCTACCCAGGAGATGTGCTGAAGGCTGAGGGACAGGTCTGCAGGACATCGATCCGGCACATCGACCCGCACACCGGAAAGGGGAAGCACCGCGACGAGGCCGTCCGCGTCCTGAAGTAAGTTGTGAATAGTCGTCGCTGTCGAGTTTGTTAGTCGCCGACACAGGGAATCTCATGCTGACCTCCTCTCCACTACGTTGCTCCAGGCTATTCCGCACGGCTGCCCTGGCCGAGCTGGGGCGTCCCGGTAGGAAGTGGGACGGGGCGCCTCCATCACAAGCAGTGGTGGAGGAAAGGCTTGCCGACTGCGACGACCCTATCCGCGACGTGAGTTGCACGTTTAGGCTCCGCTACGGTCTGCGCGTATCTGTATGCACCGCTCATATTGTGCCGCGCTTGCCTGTGCTGTATGCAGAAAGTGCCGGGCACAGTGTCGGACGGGCATGTCGGCACCGGCATGCTTGCCGCGACGTCGTTCGGGTGGGTGGCCAAGCAGATCGGCCTGCTGACGGGCGACAAGGCTCGGAGCGCTGTGAGCATCGAGAACATCAAGGTCGCGGGTTTGAGGTCGCTCCGTGATAGCATGGTCGATTACATCTGCCATCGTGTCGCCGAAAACCGGATAGCGGCGCCGACTTCAGGCGCCGACGGACCCGCCGAGGGTGCGATTGATGACGACGGCGCGGAAAGTCAGACGGCGCCTTCGGCCAATGACGCCGACGCCGCGCAACAGAGGGCGGCCGACAAGCAAGGCCTGAAGAGGTCGGGCGACGGTGACGACAAGGAGAGCTCGAAGCGGAGCAAGGGATCGGACGGGAGCCGCGTCACGAAGCCTCCTGCGCGGAGCGTGGTCGACATGCTGAAGGCGAAGGGGTGGAAGGTGAGGGGAGGGTCGACCAGCAAGGGAAGCGGAAGCGGGGGGGCGGACGGGAGACCTGCCGACGGGATCGCGGCTAACGTCGATGCACCGCCTGGCCCGCCTTTGGACGCCGAGCAGACCCATCCTCAGGCGAGCGGTGGGAAGGACGCGGCCCCCACTGCCCAGGCGGCGAAAGTCGGAGGCGCCGGAACCACCCAGGGGCCGTCTGACGCGGTGCCGGCCAAGGGCAAGGCGATGTCTGCGTCTGCTACGGTCGCCGGAACCGGCACGGCGAAGGCTGCCTCTGCTTCAGTCCCCGGAACCGGCAAGTCGAAGGCTGCTTCTGCTACGGTCGCCGGAAGCACCAAGTCGAAGGCTGCTTCTGGTACGGTCGCCGGAACCACCAAGTCGACACCATGTAACCCGCCTGCGGCAACCACCGGGCCCGCCGGCCAGTCAGGTGCGGGGAAGCATGGGGAGGCCCGTGCGGCCCCTCCAGCTCCAGCAGCCCCTACTGCCGCCAAGGTCGACGCGAAGGCTGCTTCGGCACAGGGGCCACCCGGGAGTAACGCGCTTAGGGTGTTGCTCCACCGCATGGAGTCCCACCGCCCGGGCGCGCAGCAGCATCCTGTGGTCGACGCCGGCCTCGCAGAAACAGCACGTCGCTCCGTCACTCCGCACGTTGCCGGCAAACCGTCCGATGCCCAATCTGCCGCGCGGCCGGTCGCCGCCCCACCGCCTGCGGACCCCAAGTCCGCGTTTCTTCGCGCCCATATAGGCGCACGCAAAGCGGCAGCTCCACCAGTCACTCAGCCGGAATTCGGCACAAGCGCGACGCCGACGGCTGTAAATGCGACCGCACCCTCCCCAGGAGCAGCTGTGGTCGATCTGGCGGCGGAGAGGGGAGTCAGTGCAGCGCTAGCCACCGGCGGCCGCGCCGACAGGCATGCCGCCCTCGAATCCGTCCTGGCCCAGTTTGAGGCAGCAAAACGGCCCGAGCATGCCCCGGCACTGGCCATCGTGGACACGGCGCATGCGGAGCCGTCGGCGACCAACACAGGGGGTTCGGCGGAGCCGACGGCCGCAACGGGTGTTGTCGCCGAGGGAAATGCGGGACGGAAGGGTAAGGACGACACCGGGAAAGGGAAGGCGGTGTCGGCGGGGAAGGAGATGGCGGAAGACAAAGGGAAGAAGCCGGCACGGAAGACGGGCGGCAAGGGTAAGTCGGCAAAGAAGAAGGAGGAGGAGGAGAAGGAGGAGGAGGAGGAGGAGGAGGTGGGGGAGGGGGAAGAGCATGGACGCCGGGGTCATGGCATCCGCCGAGACAGGTCTGGCGACGGGCAGGGGTGGGTGGGCGAGATGAAGTTCAAGAACCAGAATCGGTACATCGGCAAGTCCCGCGACAAGATGGAGCTGGCCTACGAGCACGCGATTGCGTACTTCGTCTACGACGGCTACGTGAGCAAGGTGCTCATGAAGGAGCTCACCGCCTTGAAGCCGGGAGAGTTGGATGAATGGAAGGCGGTGTGGGAGGAGGTCAAAATCCTGCCGACCGGGATGTGGACGGTGATGTGGGCCAGAGGCTTGTGCCATCCGAGAGCAAGGTAAGTCGGTTACCGACATGCCGTGTTTTGACGACCAAGTCGGTGTCATTAATTCTATGTGTACGTGTTCGCTCGGCAGGTTCGACGACATACTCGGCAGGTTCCGTGGGTACGCAGGTTCGGGTGATGCGCTTCATGGCGTGCTCTGGCCGGCGATGTGGTTCCCCATCATCGAGGACACGGAGGAAGGCAGGGCGGAGACAAATGCCAACATGTCGGCGATGGTGAATCGCGTGTCGATGTGCGCGGCGTATGGAAAGGTCGCGGCGAGAGTCGCGTATGGGAAGGTCGACGGGAGCGCGGAGGCGACCGCGGGAGAGACGACGGATATGGAAGGCGCGGACAGGAAGGCGGACGAGAAGGTGCAGATGGGGGCCCAGGCGTTAGCGGCCTCTGCATGCGCCCTCTGGTGCTACATGTCGACGCCGGCGTCGGTGCTCGGTGCTGTGGGCGAAGGTAAGGCGGCCGCGATTCTGGCAGGTGCGGGGAAGGAGAGGGGCGAGCACTTCGCGATGGTCATGCACGTGGTTATCGAACACGCACGCACTCGGCAGGCTCCCGCGGGGGAGGTTGCACATAACGTCGCGCCAGAGCTGCAGCGCTATGGAGTGGCCAGGGCCTTCGAGGCGGGCATTGAGGAAGACGAGGCCGACATGATCGCAAGAGCGACGGTCGAGACCTTGGCGTTCTGGGGAATGTGCCCCCTCGACGGGCCCAAGCTCAAAGCGGAGGGCATCGATGTGCCGTGTGACGCGAAGATGGAGTACGACTTGGATCACAGGGGGAGGAAGGGGGAGAAGGTCAAGCAGGCCAAGGGCAGCAAGAGGAAGAGGTAGTACGGATGCGTAGTCGGCGGAATGATGTTTGCTAGGTTGCTAGGGTGTGTACTATATTGGTATGGACGGCGCCGATTTTGGCGTAGATTTGTTAAATGTGGCCTTTTTTTGTTCAAGTGCTGTTCGTTTCAATATTGGGCTAACAACTCTGTGTCCCTGTATAACCATGCTAGCCGAATATCACCCGATGAGCCAAGTCGGCGCATATGTCGACATGATATGCACATGATACGTCGGCGATAAGCAGTGCAGAAACATGGTTGTCGGCATGACGTCGACAGTGATTTTTAGCCACACCTACTGTACTGGGCGACAAACAACCAACATCGGCAACATCGGTTCGCATGGACATTGATGTGGGATGTTTACAAACTACCAAAAACATCAGTCGGATGGGGCGGGGGGGTGGGGGGGAGGAGGGGGGGCTGTTGAAGTCTGCCAAAATCTACGCAGACGCATATCCCATGAGGGACTTCATGCCGTCTTCTTGCGCTTGGTCGGAGGACGCTGCACGGGTGCGGTCGGCTTGGCCGGTGCTGTCGACTTGGCAGGTGCGGTCGGCTTCGCCAGGTCGGCCTTGGTCTTCGGCATCTGCTCCTCCCAGGTGTCTGGAAAGAGGGCTTCGAGCCATTCGGCCGGCTTCAGATTGAGCGCGACAAGCCCACAGGCGAGGCGAAGCTTAGAGACGACCTTGGGGCCCAGCCCCTTGACTCCCATGCCAGGCTCTTTCGACTTCATCGGTTCCGTTTTCGGGTTGAGCACCGTGAGGGCGTCACAGAAGGTCCCAATGCCCGGTGCCGCGATCCTGTTCAGTGCGTCGACCACGGCCTCGGTGTCGGCGTCGCCGTCGCTCGCGCGTAGCTGGCGCACCGCATCCATGGCCCTCATCATGCGTCGCACTTTCGTGTCGAGCCCACCCTGCGTCGCGCCCTTTCCTGTGAGGAGGGTGTGGCGGGCGACGAATCCCTTCTCGGCGACCCTGTCGCAAAGGCGACGGGTGTCATTGGCGGTGGCGGAATTCCATAGGCGCCAAGCGTCCCTCACAGTCTTTGCCTCCCGCCACGGTTGCACCACGTTGAGCTCGTAACTGGCCTCCTCGTCCGTCTGTGGGGGGGGCGGGGGTTTGTCATCCCCTTTCTTGGCTCCAGCCCCCGTGCTGGCCGACTCCGCCGATCCACCATCGCTGGGAGTCTGCGCGGGAGCCGACGGCGGGGCCACCGGCACTCTCCGTGCTTCCGACAAGCGGAGTGCCTCGGTGACACGGGCTAGCTCGGCGGTGAGCCCAGCGATGGTGTCGTCGCGCTTCTCGATCTCCTCTAGGAGATCAATCTTCTCGTTCGCGGCGCGCTCTTTCTCCTTCTGCATCTGGGCCATGAGGGACATGTTGTAGTACTCGGTGTCCATGCGCACCGAGATTTCCTGCAGCAGTAGGAGGAGAAAAACGTGAGGGCCGCGGTGGTTTGGTTTACACTCCCTACTGCACGTCGGCGACAGTATCGTCGACTTACCTCTGGCTGTATTTGGGTCGGGTCGCGACGCTTGTTGATCGTCTCGGTGTCGACGCTCTCCACCCGTTTCGCCCAGTGCTGGAAGAGGGGGATCCGGCAGAGCTTGGAACCTTGGACGTACGGGTGCCATGGTGTGCGGACTAGCTTCACCGCTAGGTCCTCGGCGACGATGCGGCGCAGCATCAGGAGAGTGCGCCAGAAGTGCACCGCGGCTTTGTCGGCGTCTGACCCTTCAACAGCCTTCCCTTCCGCCTGCCATTTGTCACGGGTACGGGGAGCTCAGAAAAGGTCGGCAACACGACTCGGCGGCAAGCTACGAGGGCGTCGACTAACATACCTCCTTCAGCATGTCGTCGACGCCGGGGAATATGTGCTCGGCGAGGAGCTTCAGGAGCTTCTCGGAGGGCGGCACCCTGCTCCGACCCAAGAAGTAGTCCTGCTTGTACCCCGAGTACCCGGCCTTCTTCATCACCACCCCCACCGGAATGGCGGTGATGTACGCTCGCGTCATCTTGTCGAGAGCCCAGTGTCCAAGCTCCGCGATCTCGGCGCGCGGCGTGCCGTCGATAGCCAGCTCCTGGGCCCCGCCCGCTCGAGCGGCGTGCACGTTCCTCTTGCAGAACACCTTGTTGGTGTCCCACAACTGCCGCGTCCAGCGTTGGTGGGTTGCCGCAGAGAGCTCACCCTGGTCGGTGTCGTTTTTGGCGAAGAACAGGTGTTTCTTGTACCAGCTAGCGCGTGTGCTGGTGTCGACCGGCGGAATGAGGCGGACGCCGTGAAACTGACCGATCTGATCGAGGACGAAGTGCAACCACAGGCCCGTCTCGCCGACGGCGCACAACTCCGCTTCGAGGTGCCGCGCGGCGTAGCTCTGCTGCAGACGAGCATCCTTGGACGTCTTCGAGTTCCGCGCTCCGATGACCATGACGACCGGCTGGTTCTCCGGGTTGATCGAGGAGGTGCTCGCCAGTCGGTACAAGAAGATGTCGGGGAGAGTGATCTCGCGGATGCTTGCACCGCGCAGGAGAGAGTGGTGGGAGAGTAGCGTGAGCACCTTCAAGAGAAGAAACCTCCACAGCGTCTGCGAAGGACCCGTACCCCGCGGGTTCCACGCCTTGGCCGCCCACGCCGGCAGCACCCTGAACATGATCTGGCGGAACTGTTCGGCGGTGTAGGTATCGCCGATGGTTCCGCGACGGCGATCGGCGCAGTTCCTGCCAACAATGCCATGGGCAAGGGGTATTTAGGGCGGCGTCGACAAAGATCATGACAGCAGGAGAGTGGTCGACGTAGGTTAAAACATAAACTCACTTGATGTCCCGCTCGTTCTTGGTGCGGATCATGTACCGCACCTCCGACCTGACCACCGATATCTCCCTCATGATGCTCAGTTCCGTCTCCCGGAAGAGCGTCGCCTCCACTCTCGCCGCCATCTGGCATGCCTTTATGCGCCCGAGGAGCGTGTGTACCGTTGTCGACTGCACCGGCTGTGTTCCTGTGGCGTTGTCGGCCCCCTTGCCGGACTCGGCATCGAGGTTCAACTCCCGAATCATGTACTTCACGTATGCGCGAAGCCGGTCCTTGGTGACCCTAGGGCCGTGCAGCCACACGTGAGACCGGGGGACATCGGCCTCTTGGTCCCAGTTTTTCTTCTTGTTCTCCCGGATGTAGTGCCCTATCTCGTCGACGTGCTTAAGCCTGTACTCCTGCGGAAGCTTGTTGCGAATTTGCTTCAACATCTTCGCCGCCCACCTCTTGTAGTGATAGATCCACGAGGTGTACTGCCTCAGCGTGCTGTTCCTCTCCACGGTTTGCAGGTGGCGAAGAGCGTCCATGACGAGCACGTCTACGCACGCGTAAACCATGTCCTCCTCGACGAAGTCTGCCGCTCTCCACTGTTCGCGCGGCACCGCCAAGTTCTCCTGGTCCTCGTCCTCGTCCTGGTCGAGCAGTATGTCGATGAATTGCAGTTCCCGCCTGAGTCGTTCGTCCAAGGTGCGCGGATTAGAGCTACGAGGTGGACGGTCGTCGTTTTCGTCATCGCTTTCCTCCTCCTCCTCCTCCTCCTCCTCCTCCTCCTCCTCCTCCTCCTCCTCCTCCTCCTCCCCCCCCTCCTCCTCCGCGTCCTCGTCATCGACCTGGTTTCCAGGGGCGGCCGGTGCCGACGAGGTACCTGGCCGACCATTTTGCGTAGGAGTCTGTTTTTTCTTCTTGTTGAACTTCCCTATCGGCGGTGGCGGAACGTCCGTGGTGAACACCCCTTCTGGGATCTGCGTCAGCTTGTCCAGATCGTAGAGTAACTGCAGGTTGTCTTCGTCGGTAGGTGTCGGACTGTGGTCGGTGGATGTCGGACTGCGGTCGGTGGTCGTCGGACCCTGGTCGGTGGATGGCCTAGCGTCGGACATGTCGACGTCGGCCATGTCGGTACACGTCTGCTGCTCTACCGTCGTCCGTGTGCGTTGGGGAGGTTGTTAAACCACTGCCGGTACTGAGTCACGGGTGCGGTGTACGCCCGAACAGTTGCGCGGCGGTCGTCCTCGAGATGTCCCTCAATAACGTCTATCTCGGCGTCGAGATCGAGATCGCGGGGGGTGGTAAACCAGAGACGGTACTGTGTGACGGGTGCGGCGAACGCGCGAAGCGTCAGGCGGTCTTCGTCTTCTTCGAATTCTCGCTCAAGCGCGTCTAACTCGGCTTCGAGTTCAAGCTGTTCCAGCTGCGCCTTGATGTCGGCGGGGGGTGGGATGGGTTGCGGCTGTTGGGCCCTCGGGCGACCTCTGGCCATGCGTCGCCGACTTGCTACGTCGACTCGCGACGTGGAACCTGTGCCGACTTGGACGAACAATCGGCTGTCGAGCAACCTACAGGCGCGATGACAGACTGGCAGCTGAAAATTCTAAGGGAACGAGAGAGCAGGAAGGAACGCAGGAACGGACAAGCGAATGAGCAGGCTCGCGGGGCAACGGACGGGTATGGTCCTGAGCGACTACGATGCTGCCGCGCGTCACGCACACCCCAATGCATCCGCCGCCGTGCATGTGTTCTCGTAAAGGCGGCGCACTGTCCGACGTGGCACGTGCCAGGCATGGCTAGCTGGGCGCCGCGCTGCACGGAAGGGGCGTAAGCCAGTGCCATTCCACGTCGGAATGGGCGTGCGTTACGCGGCTTGCGACCGCCATTGGCGCCCCAGTGCAGAAATTAAGGCAAGCAGACATGGATCTCCCGGAGGCCCGGGATGACTCAAGCACGGCGTGGCAACCATGCCGTGGGGGGCCTATGATCGGCGCCGACTTCCACTCGGCGCGCTTGGCAGAGAACGTGCCGTGTGGCCGGGTTTGTGTGCCTTGGGATGATCTGGTCGACACCGACTTCCCTGGCAACCCGCGATGCCACAAGACAGTGAAGATGTGGACGGTCCGATTTGCGCCGCGTGGGTTTGCACCGCTAGAGCGACGCGTGGCCACGACGCCCACGTCGTGGCAGCCTTGTAAT